TTATGGTAAAGGGTTTGAGCACTTAGTGCAATTCCCTAATATCTCTTTTATATAAAAGTGGCAGAATCACAGCCTTACAGCTGATAGAATTGTCCTCCCATAGACATTTAGATTTTATAAAAATATATCTCTGACTATTCTAGTCATATCTCTGGTGGCCAATATTTCTTGCTCTTAACTAGTTATAAATAAAACTAAGGAAACAGAACTACAATATTAGCAATGGACTAGTGGATTAACTAATAATTTCTTTTAAAGGTATTTTCTTTAATTTAGCATCTTTATACTTTCACAGACTTAGAGGGGCTTATCCAGCCTTTCCAGTAGAATCTTCAAAATAAACTCAAAGGATTTTTAATTTGGAAAGATGTAATATTGCTATTAGTTGTAAACAAGTTTTTTGTGTGCTCGTTCTTGTGAACAAACATATTGATTTGACATTCCTCTGGGAAAAAATAATGACTAAAAAAGGTTAATATATGAGTCAGTTGCAGACACATATCATGCAGCTATGAAAGGTTTTTGCTTTTTAAGTTCTTTTTCAAAGAAGCTTGCAGACATCATAGAGGAAAAGATTTAAAAGGCTGTCCTTTAAGACTAACACATGGAAAAGTCTAGTGGCTAAAGTCTATCTGTTTCTGCAAGGGCAAAATGGGCAGGCTTTTCAATAATGGTCACAGGAGAATTTTGTTGCACTTGCCGTTGTCCCTGGCAGAGACTGGTGGTGGGAGCTACCACAGTGTCTCATCCCTCACTGGGCTTAGCCTTCGTGGCTTAGGAAGAAAGGGCTGTTCACAACCTCACTAAACTGAGCCCTAGCAGCGTGGGAAGGAAGGATTTTCAAAGGTGTAGATTCTCCTGGTTATCACTGCAACTCTCCTAGTAGTCAAATTTTAATTTAGGCAAGTCCTTTTACCTAGGTAAGATCTAGAACTTTGTGAGATCTTCAGCTGTGAGATTTTTTTTCAATATATAAAATGTATTTTTTAATAATCTTGTGGCTTCAAAATGCAGCCTGCCTATATGATCCAATACATTTTAAGGTCTAGAAAACAGAATGCAAATGAACAGACTGTTTCTTTTGAAATTTTCACTTTTATAGCGTTCTCATATTTTCTTTGGATTGGCAATGTTGTGGTCTAGAAAGACAGTTGAAAAATAAGTGCCTCACATAGTAACTTTGGCTGTTTTATTTATTTTATTTAATCAGTAGAAGATAAGAAAGCAGAAGTGCATGTGTCCTAAAACCTGTGAATCTTTAAATGACTAGAAATAATTGGTCCCTTCTACAGCAGTTGGTTGCTGTGCCCCACTAGCTTACAGTGGTTTGGTGATTAGATCTGCAAAAGATTAATTTTCCATATAATACTTCTGAAACTACTTGTAATACACAGCTGTTCTTTGTTGCAGAGCTTCAGGACTGTTTTAAGGTGTGTTCTACAGAGAGAAACTAATTCAAGGCAATGGGCCTGCACGTGCAGACATAATCTAATCTTGTATGGCTGTCAGTCCAATGCAGCTGGCAATTATGGGGAAGATGATCCTTAGGTCATCTCCTCTTTGCTTTATGCTTCAGAGGCAGGCCTGCCAAGGATTTCTTGGAAGTAAGCAAAAAGACAAGGTATGCTAAAATCATTTCACAGGGTTATGAAGGTTTATTACAGGAGTAGTAAAGGACTCTGGTTCACATATAGGATTGACATACCTGGGACAACAGGAGGGATCCTGACACCTCTGCTCTCCTGTCCTCCCTCTTTTGTGGAAAGTCATCTCTGCTTGAGGAATCGTTCTGGTGTTTCTGAGAGATCAACAGTCACAGTTTTGATAGGCTGTGCTTTAACATGAACCAAAAATCAGCATTGCTTTTTCCCTATTGCATCAGGTTGTAGTATCTTAAAGGATTCAGTAGCTGCTACACAAGGAGATGAACCTGTGTGGAAAGCAAACACATATGCAACTTCCGAGGGAAACCAGTGCAGGTACAAATGCAGTCCAAGGATAATGGAATGGATTATGAGGGAAAAACACAGCAAATTAAAGTCATACCAAGAATGGCTTTGAGACCCCATGTGGTAGTGAGGGTATTGTAATGACCATCGAGTGGGGATGCAGATTTTTCAAATTTAGAGAAGCCTGAGCTCAGAGACATCGTAATTTTGTTTTAAAAATCTCTTCCTCTTGCCCTGGTACAATTATTTCCAATAAGTTCTCTCTTACTATCTACCTTTTCCATCACATACATTATCCTCACATTGACAAAATACGCAAAACCAAAAAAGGCAGTACTGATCCCCTACTTGTTGGAAATGGTTTGTCTATTGAATATTGTGCTAACTTTCCACAGTATTGCCTGATCACTAGAAATACATTTAGTTACTGCACATTGGGTTTAAATATTCAAGATTTTTTATAAATATACCTTTGTATTATGTATATGTTACATTAAACCAAAGTCATATTCACCCTATTGTGTTCATTAGAGTAAATATGCATAATGTATGTTTCTTTGATTAAATTCGGAGTAGGTATGTCAACATTCTATCAAATCAGCACAATACATCCTCTAACTTGTCTTCTGTACCAAAAAAGGTAGTGGAACTGATAGAGTGGGCTGGAATGTCAGTGAGGAATTATCTTAATCCTCATGAAAATGCCAGAGTTGTGATAAAGCTCCTTCCCCATCCTGCAAGGTGGTCTGTAGCAGTAGTTTGCAGAGGCGATGACAGAGTCCAGTCCTCTCTGAACAAGTTCCTTTAGAGACTCCACATGTGGAAGGTTTCATGTTTGATAGAAAATTTACTTATCTGAAGTTTTCTGAAGTTACTGTCAGGGAACATAGAGGGCCAGGTGCTCCCAAAGGGACGGGAGCTGCAAATCATGGGCAAAAACCTGACTGACATAACAGGGGCCTCACCAGCCAGGGCACATGGTGATGAGGCAGGTCCCTAGGGTGGGATCAGGCCCCATGAAGGTAACCAGAGTCAGACATAGCCCTGGGATGACTAGACAGGGCCATGGGGACAGGCCAAGGCCAGGTCAGGATGTCAGCCCATGACGTGTTTCAGCTATGTACTTAAATCCCAATACAAGTGAAAATTGCACTTGACATGATAGACCAAACGAAATACAAAGTCAAGTCACTTTACAAATTTGTTTCTCCTTGCCTGTTGCCATAATATGCCCACTGTCATGACGCTGGGCATTCCCAGCTGCTGAGAAGGAATATGTGGGTTTAAACCTGCTTAAGCCTGTTGCTTTTCTCCAAGGTCTTTTTGTTTGTTGTTTAGTATTCACGGCCCACATACACATGCAGACCCCAGAGCTGATCTGGCTAACTCAGGAAGTATTTGCATTTTTCTTGTTAGGTTGGGAATGAACAGTTACACAGATGGTTGGTTCACTCAACTAATGCAACCATTTATCTAGAACGGAGGTCACCCTACTGTCCCCTTCATGCTAAATTCAGGTTTCTTTGCAGTATCTGTGGTCAGTCACTCCGTATGCTCTTCCCTGACCTGTTGGTGGTACAGAGTTCTTGCCGAAGCTGAATTCCCATAGAACTGGATAGGAAGTTGATTTATTCTTCTACTACAAAACAAAAGTATCTCTATTTACAGAACATGCTACGTTTTTGTTTGTGAAACAGATTATTCTTCTGTCGTTCTGCAGGTGTATGTTTCACCTCTTACCGCCTACCCTTATTTAAAGAAAGAAAAAATGTGGTATTTATATATAAACTGGATGAACACCAGTTCATTGCTGTCGGATGCTGGTGTGCTGTGACTTACCTCTTCCATTTCAAGCCATTCTCTAGTAATAGAGCAGCTTTTCTAGAAACTAACTTCTTCTCAGCAGTGGTACCAATTAATTTTATTGGATTGCATTTGCTATTACTTGGTTCCTGTACTTGTCAAAGTAGTACCTAATAGCACGCTGCATGGTGAATCACCTTTAACAAAGAGCATTGCTCATTACCGGTTTAAGGGAAAAAAAAAAAAAGCTTTTCAAAAATATATTGTAACCAGCACCAGTATAGTTTTAATGGGTTATTTTACTGCCGAGAAAATCTGGAAGAGGTGACTTTTCAGTCTGATCTGGAAACAGAATGTCTTTTTTTTAACTCCTGAGTTTGTGTGAATTTGTTAGTGAGGAACTCAGCTAACAGGTGTCTTCATAGCTTCTTTCATCCAAAGAGCTTGGGAACCCTGTTTGTTGTTGTTATATAACTTTCAATGCGTATTATCACTTTGCCATAATCCAGAGATCAAACTTTGAAGTTAAACTGATAGATAATTCAATCACTGGAATTGCAAACTAATGCAGACTGAAAATACATTATAAATCCTTAGCAGTCATATTGATTAAACATTGGAACAAATTATCTGGAGGTCTGGGCCTCTCCCACCACTTAAAGCTCACTGTCTTTCAAAGAGGTATGATTCAGAAATTGCTTGTTGAGACTAGACCATACTGCTCCTTTCTTCTCACAGGACTACTCCCAATTTTTTCTTAATTTCTGTCAGATGCCCCAAGCTCTGAGAATAGATATTGCTGCCACTTACCAGGTGGAACTGGCAGAAGATTAAATTAGCCTTTTAGAAAGTACTCTTGGGCAGAGTCCAAAAGAAGAGATTTAAAATTCTGTTTTCACTGCTTTGCTTAAATCCCATATATATATACACACTAAATAGTAACTGAGTTTCAGTTTTAGATACCATATTTGGTATGCAATCTACAATAGAAAAATATGCTAACACTCTTATCTTGGTTCTTTTTGAATGCTGCCATGGTGATGGCTGGTGCAGGTAGAACAAGAATTTGGAGAGTTGGTAAAGAAAGCTAGTGTTCCAAATAACTTACACTTCATATTATCTTACAGACTTCAAATAGTGTTATAGAACAAGGATATTAAAAATTGTGATAAACAACACTACTACTTCATGCATGGTTGAGCTGTACATGGAACAACTCAATTTTAGTAATTTCTGTTGTTTTTAAAGGCAGCAATGGAGAAGCCAATTAATCATCGATTGTTCATGACAAGAATTTTGCAGGAATTTGAAAGTGACACATTTTTTCCAGAAATCGACTATAAGGACTACAAACTTCTCACAGAGTAAGTATCAAGAGGCATACTAGCCTTGGTTTCAGATGGAAGACTTAATAATGTGAGTCGAATGTGTAAGGGTCATATTAAGGCCATGTTCTGTTTTCAGTTAGAAGTGCTTTTCACTGTATTTTTTCCCTGGGGTCATATTTTCCTTAGAACCTGGAGTTGCACCACACTCAGCACAGAGAGGTTGTTGGAAGTTGCTGTGTTCTTCAACCTTTCCATAATCTTTACAGCAAAGAATTGCATTTGTCAGTTTGCTTGTAAAGTAACTGTCACTGTTTAAGGTTGGGCCAGGACTTGAAACAGGCGGCAGATGCTCTCTGTTAATCCCTCCCTCCCCTCAGGAGGGGAAGGGACAGAGAAAAGGGAGAGAGACTTACGGGTTGGAAATTAAAACTACTTTAATAAAACAATAATAATGGAAAATAGTATGATGGTATTAATACTAATGCTACTAATAATGGAAATAAGGAGAAAAGTATACAACACTGATACTGAGTGTCCTGATGAGGGTCAGGGGATTGCAGGCCGCAGCCTGTAGGGACTCATGGAGCTGCTGCAGCAGGGCAGGCACCCGGACTTCCCGAACTGGACTTCGCAGCCGACAGGAGCCAGATTCAGGGATGCAGAGTTTGGGGTTGGAGGCAGGAGAGCGAGCAGGGTCCCACCGGGATGCCAACCGTGAAAGAAGAAGAGCCAACCCCCATGATCCCTTAGCTTTATACTGAGGATGATGTGGATGGGATGGAATACCTCGTCGGCCAGTTTTTGGTCACCTGTCCCATCCACACTCTTCTGCAGGTGCAACCTTTTTACAACTTTTTACTTGTTTAACAGAAGAGGGCCAGCAGTGGCCTTGGTTCTCATGGGGGTAAGTGTAAACATGGGCCTCTCTGCATACCAATCCTACTGATACTTCAGTAGCAACTCTACACATCCAGCGTTATCAAGCCTGAAAAACCGACACTGTCTGAAAAACATGTAGCTGCACTTTCAGAAAGTGCAGTTACTTAGAAGAGACTTAACTGAAAGAAAAACTCCTGAAAGGAGAAATAGCCCTATTTTAGCCAAACCAGGACAGTAACTTAATTATTATTTCTCATTTTAGAATTACTGATATATTTACTAAGCTTCATAACTGTCAGTATGTTGTTAGTCAATGGTATTTAGCCTCTCAACGTCTTTGATAAATTGCCAAAGACAAATTAGGGTTTGAGTGGGGAGGGTTGAGTCTTTATAGATCTTTAAGGTTATTCATAGATCATCGAGTCTAACCATAACTTTCTAACAATTTCCATAACAATTCCTTTCTCTTGAGAAAATTGCTTCTTCCTAATGAACTTAAGTAGGAAAAAGTATTGAGCTGTAAGTTTCTGCCATTCATTGTGATTTCTTCTGTCTTACCCTTGTCATGTTCCAGTCACACTTTTATGTCCTCTCCAATGAGATTACATCTAACAGGCAGTAGCAAGGTGGCAGAAATTTAAAGGTCTGCCTCAAGAGCCAGCAGGGAAAGGACCTCTTCCTCTTCTTGCTACTCTTGCTTTGGTTCCCAGCTGATTACAGACCAGCAGTGGAAGAAATAGAGCGTATGGCAAGTCAAGTGTCTGCACAGGGCATGGGAATGGAGGAGAATAGGTAGGGACAGGAAAAGAAGGATGTGCAGAAACAAACAAGGTGAGTGGAGAGGATGAGTCACCTTTTTCAACTCTTAACATGTTCTGAACTGCGCTGTGCCATAGCGTGAGCCAACTTTAGTATCCTGGTATCTGACCCAAAGCTCCCTTCCCTCCCTCTTGGCTGTTTCTCAGGTATACATTGGTTTTGGCCAGTGTACTGAAATCAGAATTTGGCCTTAAAACATCAGTTTATAAAATAGCAGATAATTCCCTCACTAAAGTGGAAACTTGATAGAGTCAAACCTAGTGAACAAAATTTAAAATTTCTTTCTCCCTCAAAGTCAACATTACTCGTACAAAATCCTTATTCTGTCAAAGGGAGAGGAGGAGATTTTCTTAAATGTCTATTAATAAAACTGCTTTAGTAAATCTGGAATATAGAGGAACACACTGCAGGGTAGCAGTCAGCTACTTTAAGAAGCTGTTGTAGATTTGTAAGAAACTTTTACCTTAGCATTTCCTCTAAACCATCTGAGGAAAAACAAAGCCAAAACTTTTAGCCTGGTGAAAAGGAGGCTGAGGGGGGACCTTATCGCCTTCTACAGCGACCTGAAAGGAGGTTGTAGCGAGGCGGCGGTTGGTCTCTTCTCCCTGGTAACTAGCGACAGGACAAGAGGAAACGGTCTCAAGTTGCGCCAGGGGAGGTTCAGGTTGGCTATTAGGAAGAACTTCACTGTAAGAGTCGTTAGGCATTGCAACAGGCTCCCCAGGGAGGTGGTGGACTCACCATCCCTGGTGGTGTTCAAAAAACATTTAGATGTGGCGCTTTGAGACATGGTTCAGTGGGTTTAGTGGGCATGGAGGCGTTGGGTATACAGTTGGACTTGATGATCTTTGAGGTCTCTTCCAACCATGGCGATTCTGTGATTCTATAAAATCGTGAAAGTGTTCTATATCTCTTCTATTTTTTCAGACATTTTAAATAACATGTTGGAGGCTTTAATAAAAATGTTGGGCTTTTTTTATTAAGCCAAAAAGGTGGTGGTGGGTTTTGTATCAGAGAATGTTTTCTTGAATTAAAAAAAAGTGCATACAAGTTGCTGATAGTAGTTAACATGATTCCTAAAAATAGTTTGTACTTAGTATACCTCTTGTAAGGATGGTATTTTAATATCATTTTTCAAACAGCTCTCTCTTCTAGTTGTTTGGATAAATTACAGGTGACTCATTATGATATTGTTATCTACTTGTTGGCTTTTGCTTTTTCTTCTCCCCTCTCTTCAGGTACCCAGGTGTCCCTGCTGATATCCAAGAAGAGAATGGCATCCAGTACAAATTTGAAGTGTATGAAAAAGCTGTCTTGGCACAATAAATGAGGGTTTCTGTACTTCTGTGCAAGGGCAGGCATTTTAAATCATAAAGCCTTATTAAGTGCAAATTATATTAAATAGTACAATACCTCAGTAGTGAATGATCCCCAAAACCACACCCCAGTCTCCAAATGTACACCCTGCAGTGGAAATATGAGGGTGGTCAGCAGCATGAACAAGGTAGGTCTAAGGAGTACTGCAACTAAGGTTACATGAATCCTTGCATTGATCTTTCCAGTCCATGGCAGCATCCCTAACAATTCCACAAGCAATGAAAGGCATTAGGCTGTGTCAGAACCTTTCTACGTAAACAAAGGTTTTGAGTGAGAAAGCATCAAAACTGCTGAGTTTGACTGCAATGGTATACACATTTGTAACCATCTTTAAAACATGCTGGTGTAGAGGAAAAGGCAAGCAAGCATAACAAGAGAAATGGAGTCGAAGTCTCAAGCAGCAGTTGAGGGATCCATTGATCCTTCATGGAAGTCCTCTCCTGGTGACCTGTGGGGTCACAAGCCCGGCCAGCAAACCTGCTCCAGCCTGGGCTCCTCTCTCCACAGGGCCACAGGCCCTGCCAGGAGCCTGCTCCAGCATGGGCTTCCCCCGGGATCCCAGCCTTCTTTGGGCATCCCCCTGCTCCGGCGTGGGGTCCTTCCCGGGCTCCAGCCTGGGCCTCCATGGGCTACCAGGGGACAGCTGGCCTCACCATGGGCTGCACCAGGGGCTGGGGGGAATCTCTGCTCTGGGCCTGCAGCACCTCCTCCTCTTGCTGCAGTCACCTGGGGACTGCAGGGCTGCTCCTACCACACATTCTCTCTGCAGCTGCAATTGCTCTTGCACAGTTTTCTTTTCCTTCTTCTTAACTATTTCCTGAGAGGCGCTACCCACATCACGGATGGGCTGGGCCTTGGCCAGCAGTGAGTCTGTCTTGGAGCCAGCTGGCATTGGCTCCATCAGGCACAGGGGATGCTTCTGGCAGCTTCTCACAGAAGCCACCTCTATAGCCCTGTAGCTACCAAAACCTTGCCACACAAACCCACTACAATCTGATAAAGAAGTTTTAACATTTCCATTAACTTCACACCTGTGTGAAGGTTTGCTGCTCTTTAAAAAGTTGCTATGTCAGTTTGACCATGGCCACTTTGCAGCATAAGAATGTAAACATTGCTTTCTTAACAGAATCTGTGTTCTTACGTCCGTTTTAAATGTTACCAGTGCAGATGCAGAGTGTTAATTTGTCGGTGTGAATTTGAATATTCTATGTGGCATACAAATATGGCTTATAAGCAGAGAGTGGAGTCCTGTTTCCTCTTTCATTAAATACAGCTAGTATAATAATGTTTTGCATTACTGTTCCCTAAAAGTAGCAAGCAATATACTGGTACTGTAGTAACACTGTGATTCTAATGGCATACAATGCCAAGTGTTGACCAAAGTTTGTTATTGCCAATATTACCACAACACGATCTGTCATGTTAGTCTGTTGCTGTGTTCTGACTGTGGGGAGTTTGTCAGAGGGCAGAGGACTCCATATATGAAGGGCCACGGAGACGAGCTCAGGTGTACCATCCCCAGCTATGCTTCCTTGTGCTGCAGCTGCCACCCTGAGAGTGAGAGCCTACCGACAGGTATCCCTGCCTCCCTTTCATTGCAGATCAGTCTGAGAACAGGAGAGTGAAAAAAAGGATAAAATTAACCCTCAAAATGCTGCTGTTTCTCCAAAACATTTTAAAAGCATCACCTTGTGATCTTGTGCATCAGTATTGTGGGAGATTCAAGTAATAATACTCGTCCTTTAATGTCACACTGAGGCCCAGTTCTAACATCAGGGAGGGTGGCACTGGCCATTGGCGGGTTTTACACGTTATAACTGTACAGAGGAGCGTAGCAGCACCTGGTTTTCTAAGAAGTTTAAACCCTGATTTTGCTTGCTTTTGAAAAATCAAACCTCGTTACTAAGAGAAAAACACTTAGAATATCAGCTATGAACACCTCTTGAATTTTCCAAGGCAATTGGCAACATTTAGCTGATAAAAAAGAAAATCAGCATCTGTTCTGGGTTGTCTCGGTTTTCTCTTTGTTCCTTTTGCATTCTGGAAAACGTAAGTACTTTCCTGTGTTGATCTGCTTGCTCCATGTGTGCTGATGTTACATCGCTCGATAAAAATTAAAACAACAAAGTTAAATGCTTATGTAGTACAGCAAAAAGTCTCCTGAGTTTTAATTTGCCAAGACATTGTTAAAGGCAAAGAAAAAGAGTATTACCAGGGGGATGTTATTTTTTCAAAAAATGTAAGTCACAGTGACCCCGACAAGAGAAAATAACCTCCCCAAAGCGTTCAGTATGTACCAGTTAGCATCAAAAAACAGGTCACTGTTGAAAGCTCTGCAGAGCGAGTCTGCAAAGTACTGTGTTTATGGCAACTGACATTTATTAAAAGTGGAAGCAAAGTCTCTGTGTGATGTTGGATTACACTGTGATACTGATACAAATTTACGTTAGAAATTTCTACCTAAGCATACATTGCAGCAGATGCTGTTCACTAAAGCCAAAATGTTTTGTTGAACCACTTTAAAGAACTTGGATGCAAACAAGCCTACTGGGAACATAGTTACCCTGACTATTTGTGGACTGACTGAGTCCTCTCCAGATTTAAGTAACTACATTCATTTGTCAAATTCTGCAGCAAATGAAGTGAATTTATGATTGATTCCTGGAAATAAGAACTTTGGAAATGAACACAGCATTCTTCTACTTAAAAGTTTTCAGAACATATTAATGATGCAGTTTCTTCAGTATGTCACTGCCAAAAAGATGCATTTTTGGTTTGTTTTTTTTTTTTGTTTTAATAAAAGCACTGCATTTAGAGAGCACTGTTTACGTCAGAGCTTTTCAATATGCTGTACAGATTCCAATCAAGATTTAGGAAAATACATTTGATTGCAGTGAAGTTGGGTCCAAAAGAAGTATTTTCATCCTAAAGACAGACATGCCAACCACTAGAAGGTTAGACGCTTACTGTTTCAAGAAGGTGGATAGGCAGAAGAGTGTAAGTCTGCGTGTTCAGGAAGCACATGCACGTACAAAGACTGTTTGCTGACAGGTGTATTATTTTCAGAGGATGGTAACTTTGAACATTTTTTTTTTTCAATCTATGCCCTTTTAAAGACACCTTAGATTATTCATCCAAAAACTGAGATAAGAAAAATGGTTACTCTCTTCTTCTAAAGGCTCAAGTTACTACCTGGAATTTGTATGGCGCCTTTTTCAAAACCAGTGCTTCACTGGGTGACAGGCTGGTTGAAAAGCAACAGATAGATACAAAATAAGTGTTTTCTGTTCACCTAAGCTGAGCATTGTGTCTGTTACCTCCCTATTTATATTTCCTAAGGGAAATGTAAGTATTTTATATTATGACTTGAAGAAAAAGTAATTGTTCCAAATACAACTTTACCATGTTCATTTACTTGCGAACCTCACTGATGTATGATTCTGTGAAAAGCCATAAATTCTCATTATGTCTGGCACAGGGGGGAATGTCGTCGTTTTCCCCAGTTCCATGCAGCTAAGTGCAATGAATAGCATCATGAGTGACAATATAATTACCAATCACCAAGAAAAGTATAGTACAGATATAATTTAATCCCCCTCATTCATGCTTTCCCAGGAACAAAGTGTTCTAAACAGATTAAAAATTTCAATTTTTAAGGATACTACTAGTTTTAACAAGATAGCTAAAAGCAGAGGGTCAGCCTAAGAGGTGAAAAACAAACTATTAATGTTTCTGTGTTTGTCTGTTACTCATTCTCTCTCTTACCTGACAGTGGACAGCAATTTACATTTGGCAGTAGAAAGCTGATGTTTTCAGTAGCTCACCAGTAGCGTTACGGCCATGGTGCATTGAAGGACAGAATTGGGAACATTCCAAACAACAAATCTCTGTCATGGAGAGCAATCCATGGAGAAGAAAAGTACACTCTAAATAATATGACTTTCCTAATTTAGCAGACAGAATATTATTAGTATATATACAGAACACCAGGGGAAAAACAGGAAGGGGAAAATGACAGTGATTACTTTATGCATGTTATGTAAGGAGAGCACTTATCAGGAGCACTTGACATGAAATCTTAACTGGGACCACACAACCATGTTATCTTCATCAGACTACAGCTAATTTCCCAAAGGCTTAAATGTAAACCCAAACTAATTCTGAGTAGTTTAAAAGCTGTGCTGGCAGAAGAGAAAGATAGGAGCAGGCAGCAGCTGATTCGGAGAGGGAGAAGCTGTGGGAAGGGTTGTTTGTTAGTGTGGAGAGTGAGGTCACTAGAGGTGACAAATGAGGTGACAAAGCTTGGTTAAGTATGAAATGAGGAGATACTTACCTCATTATTCAGTTGTGCGTCAACTGTCTCTGCTTGCCCAGGAGGGCTGTAGGAATGAAGCCTACCAATTCAGGGTAGGTTGACAAAAAAAAATCACAAAAATCTTTTAAAGTGGTAGGTCCTGGAACAAAAGAGTGGAAATGGGGAAAGAGAAGTTAGAAGAGGAAATTGATGTTTCCTAGAAGGGTTACAGAGTTTTTTGTGTTGGCTTGCCCTATAACTATAATTACTGAGGAAACTCTTTCAAACTGTCGCAGGGCTTAGCACTTTTAACGTGCTGTGACAAAGAATTTCATTAGCGAAGGATTTCCAGGATTGGGTGAACTGCCTTTGTCAGCTACACAGATATCGTCAGCTACAATTCCTATCCTGAAGTGGCTGCACTACATGTGAAAGCGAGTCCCATCCCAGAGCATTCAGTAGCACAAGGCTTAGCATTGTGCCTAGGCTGATGATCTCCTGCTTCCCTTGGTGGACACCATACACTACTGGGACTGCATATGGGAAACCTGCTGATTTCTCTTAGTTTTAAATTATAAGGATTTGCTTTCCGCTGGTGCTGGGGTGATCCTGGGGTATTCTTTGCTCTGTTTTCTGTCTGCAGATCATTCTGTCTCCTTTCGCATAACATCAAAGCAAAATTTGTACGAGAAGTCTTTTATTAGATTAATTGACATGGTTGGAAAAACAACAG